AATCCCATCAATTCTTCATTAATCTGTTTTCAATCAATGTTCAAGAGTCGATTAGTTTTGTTAGTGAATGTTGTTGCCAGAAGCATTCCCAGTAGATATTCCTATACAATGATGAAAAGACAGTTTTTAAAGTTAGAAAAGCTTCCTCCCTCAAAGCACCAATGAAATCCGGTACATTCTTTTCTTTTTAATTTTATCCAAGAATATGTCTCAATCATGCATGCAAACTTGAAAAGTTATTCTGATTTTTTGTGGAATGTCAAACGCAACTATGGCTAAAGATCTTTTACCATTAGACAAACAAATATTTTCTGCTTTAAGTGCGATTATGAATTATATTATCTAACTGCTAGAAATTTTCATTTGTTTTCTAATTATTGTGGGATCCATGGTCTTTGTTTCTCCAATCGATCTCCTCCCCTCCTGTGGTTTTCTTTTCCATTTCCCTCCTCGAAATGATGCAAAAGCAGACGCAGTCAGTGCACATTGAGTTGGATTTTGGACCACAATTTGATATGGCTCAAGAAAATGTTAATGCAGATTGCTAGTTTAACTTGTGTCGATTTTTCTTAATGTTTCTGTTCAATCTTTAGCCAAGGAACAACATTATTGGCACTCCCAGACATGACAAACATTGAAAAAACAACTCGACCAACAAAAGCGAAATGATAGAAATAAACAAAAGGATAGATTGTTGCATAGGTAAAAACCTTTCCAAAACGAACAAAGCAATTGACAGAAAAGATATTAAAAAAAAAACTGGACTGTGCTAAGGTTAGAATTGGTTAACCGGGAAGGCAGAAACCACCAAAAAAGCTTGAGCTGAAAACCTCAAAAGCGTCATTGATGAGGAGGGGCCTGTGGTTTCACCAAAGGACAAAGGGAGCTAGCACAGTGGCATTGACATAAGAGAAAAGGAGAGAGGGTGGCATGGTGGTGGGGTGGTGTTGATCTGGGGTGGTTAATGCTGGTTTGTCTCATGCATTGGCTCCTTTCCAAAGGGTCCCCAGTGAGACTTTGTCCTAAAGGGTCAGACCCTTTTTCTCTAAAGCCTGCAAGGGCTTTTACTGCCATCACTTCAAGGGGTTGGTGTGGGGCCCATTGCTACCACTTTTGTGGGCCTCCATGGGTCCATTCACTGCCTCAGCCCAGGTTTCACATGCAAATCGATACTCTTGCCCTCCTTGTGTATAGTTTACATTAACTTCATTTATCTGCTGTTCCTGCAGGGCAGGAATATCTGCTGGTTCTACCGCAACCTTTTGCACACAGCCTGGATTTGGGACCCGTCTTGACCATATTTTTATAGGAAATCCCAGCCACAAAATCTAGTGGCCCCCCAATTTCACCCATTGGGGTGCCATGAACACAATTATTTATACTTCTGGACTGGGCAGGGCAGGGATGTACATGAAGAAAACATGGGCGAAGTTGGGACTGATAGAAATTTCCAAGCAGTGTACCGAACAAAACAAGAAACAGGTTCCAAAATTCGGAAAGTAAAAGGATTTTGATGTAAGCCATACAGTAACTACACATGCAAACACAAGTTTATAAAATAGATATTTGGAAACACAACACCCAAAACAAAATAATCCATTGAAAATTAAAGAAGACTATTATCAATTGCGTCCATTAAATTCTCACAAAAAGTACAAAACGTTCAACAACAATACAGGCTTGACATCCTTTTCAACCATATAAATTTAACATATCTAAATAGAAAATCATTTTATAACACCTTTTGCAATCTACGATGCAAGATAATTAAAACACTGGTAAAAAAACTAAGAAAAAAAACATGAATGCATGATCATTGGAGAGAAATAAATGGTTTTGACTATTTTATATTTATTGCGTATAACATTCTTCTAATTATAAATCATTGATACATTCACATGGGTGGCTTTTGACTTCAAATGAAATACGTGAAAAAACTGATTTGATAGGATGTAATGGGGTTGAAAAGAAGCATTTAGATGAAATTTCGACGTCGATGAATGGCAATCGATGACGGACGATTCGACGGCTAATGATGATTATCGGCATCTACATGTCGGAATTTGGGTTAGTAGCTGCTGGTTTCGAAGAAAGATGAACTAGAGGGAAAGAATGAGAAAATTAAAGAGAATAAAGGAGGGGAAAATAGAATATGGGAAATATTTGAGTTTTTTATCTTAATTTTTAAAAATGAAATATGAAAAGTCATTCAGTCCGTACTCCTTACCGTCAGCCAACGCCAACGATTTTTCATGAAAGAATCAAAATGTCATAGGTTTTGACAATTGAGAACCAACAAACAAATTATATTTTAAAAATTAAAAATCAAAACGATATTCCAACCAAAATTTAAGTAGTTTTTTTAATTCATTGATTAAAAAAAATTTTTTAAGAAAAAAATTTAAAGTAAATAGGTTATTTAATCTTTTAAATCAAAATAAGATATGTCATATTTGATAACTTAAAATAAGTTATTGTAAGTCATATATTTAAAATGATCTCAACAAATAATTACTGACAAGATTTGAATTAAAAATTTTTTTATCGAAAAAGATAAATTTTAATCAAATGAATGAATAATTTATTAATTAATTAAAATATATTTAAACTTTATTTTAAAATAGAGATATTTTGACTTGGTGAACTTCCATAACATTTTTTTTTTCATGTCAGCACCTCTTTTCTTCTATCCTCTGTATTCCCTTCCTTCGGTGCAGCTCATTCGCCATCTTTCTCTTTTTTTTTTTGGCTATGTACAATAAATACTTAGAACAGTAGACTTTTCCATCTTCAATACAGGATTTGCTTCGTTATCTTCCATTGGAACAATTTTGTCCTCAATCTTCAATGCTTCGGTAGCATTAGAATCATCTCGCGATTCGAGATTGTTATTGGAAATAGATTTATGATTGATGGATTAAAGTTGAAGGTTGATTGGGTATCTGTACAGGTTGTATGAAAATGACAAAATTTAGCATGTCTTAAGGGGATTGAACTGATTCGATAATGACAAAGTGTTGAGTTGATTATTTGTACCATAAGTTAGATTCTAAACATTTCTCTGTAAAGACTGCACATGTACATGTCCATGTGACGCTTGGTAAACATTATCTCCTTCATAAAAGTAAGGGTAATTCCCATAGGCACCAGACTCCACGTTCTTCAAGAGGAATGTGGATGTGGGGTGAAACAACCACAACTAGATGATGAAACACTTCATTCCCCAATTCATATCCAGTTCGACGATGAACATAAGTTGAGGGAGATGATGGCCTCAACTAAACTTGCCTGCTCATGAGGTAAATTCATGCCAGCAACATCTAGAATGTACCGGTAATTCAATCTTCCAGCTCCATGTACATGATCCTCGCTTCCTCAACACGAAGGTTCATTTGGTGCTGCAAACTCTATCCTCTTTCATGATCGTGTGTTTCACCGTAAGCAGAAGAAGGATCATTTTGATCTTTGGAATAAAACCCAAGATGCAATTTTCCATCTGCTTTCAGCATGAAAGCTTCCCTGTTTGGGGTCATTCAGCACATCGAATTAAGCTGAGGAACACCAACCTTGTCACCAGAAAAAGCTCCAGTTGGCATCCATACTACATTATCTGACAACTGTGGCTCGTGTTCGGATGATGATTTAATTACAGCAACAAATATTCTTGAGGCATTCTATCCAAGCATTTTTCCGGTAATTCTGGAAACATTACTCGGTAAAGAGCAGAAGATGGTGAAGGCGGAAACTTTGATAATGACATAATGTTCTGGGATCATGATGTCCATGGTGCCTAGGAGAATAGTAAGAAGAACTCCATGAATCTTCCATTTCATTTTATCTCTGAGGAACTGGTTGCTGGAGTTGCCCGGACCCAAATGAGGAATAGTAAGATGATGCAAGTTATATGGCAACATTGACATCTAACCACTCCTCTAATTATGAAGGAAGAATATTGAAAGAAGAAAATAACGATTAAAGTGAAAGTATTCTTATTTTGTAATAAAATTTAAAAGTACTCTTATTAAAAAATTAAGATTTAGAAATATATTAGTTTAGAAAAAAAAAAAACTCAAAATTTAAGTATCATAAATTTTTTTCAGACTGAAAATGGATCTCAACACTTTGGTACAATTGGACGGCCTAGATTTCACCCCCCACCCCCACTTTGATGCTTAACTTCCAAATCCAAATCCTCCCCACACCCTATTTTTCGAGAGTTAATCACCGACAATTATTATAATATAATTAATTAATAATAATTTAAAGTTTTGTAAAATTTATTAAAAAAATTATGTAAAATCTGCATTAAATGATAAAATAATTTTTTTATTATAGCATTGTGATAAAAAAAAATTATAATTCGTACTTGCTCTCAACTTTTTTCCCCTTAGCAATTGGCACCAAATTTCACATGCCAGACGCTCGCATTACTCCTGAGATCATACGTGGCGATCACCCAATAAAATTGGTTACTCTGAATTTACCATAATGTCCCCGTATTGACTACTTATTTCATTATAGAACCATGTCCGAAATAACCTGAAACACTGCATTAACTACTTATTTCATACCACTTGCCAGTCGCCAAATACGCTGATCCACTGTCCGTAATTTTTGTCGGACACTTGGAGTGAAAGCATCTGTTCCCACACACACAGTAACCTGTATCACCATTTGCCAATCAATTTGCTCGTTTAAAGATCAGCAAAAGTAGATACACAACCAACGGTGCAAGAAAGAAAAAGAAAAGGGTATTTTGGTCTTAGTCTGTATGAAATGATTGGTCCAACTATCTTAACGAGTTACGACTCACAAGTGTTAATGCAGTGTGATTGGGTTATGCGTTGAGTATAATTTAAACATCATGAGAACCAGCTCAGCTTAGGCGGTTTAATCAAAAAGCCCATAGTAAAACAAAACTTATAATATCTACTATATTTAGCCTTTAAAATAATAATTATATAATTATGATAAGGATTAAAATAAAAAATTCCCTCTCCACTCTACTACATTCAATCCCGACCGTTCATTATATAATTAATGACATAAAAATGACCAAAAAATAGGGTCTCCAATTTTCTTGAGATGAAATGAGGTGGGGTCTTATCTATGATTGCTGTACATCCGAAGCAGAAGATCGCAACCGCTTGGCTGGCGGCTCTACTTGGCTGCTGGAGCTGGGATGCTCGGAGCGCGTGTCACAGCTGCCACAAGCAATAGCATCGAGCACACCGACTGGACTTGGAGGCGCAGGTGGCTGTTTGACTCTTAGCTCTTTGAGCCGAGCAGAAGGACACGTGTCGATCAGATATTCCTCCATTAGTTGTTGACAGCTTCTCACCATTTCCTATCCCAAAGAAAAAGAAAAGAGCCAAAAAACTAAATATTTGCAAAACGACCCTTACAGAAACATAAAATCATACTTAGATCCACTTGAAACATAACTTACTTCGTTTACACTCTCGTGAAAAAAAGCGTAATCAGCAGGAAATTCAAAACTCTCTCCGGCGGCACAAAGCGCAGCGGCTGCCGCCATTGTCGACGGCCTAAATCGCAAGAAATCAATAACTGCAAACAACCCCAGAAACCAACAAAAAGGATAAGACTCAAGAAACATTAACAAATTAAATTATAAGCTTTAATTCAGTTCATAGATCAATAGTATAATTATACCACGGGCGGTGCAGAGTATGAGATCCGAAGAAGTAGAGATAACCAAAGAAAACGAATCGGGTAACAGGGTCGAGCATGAAGGAAGCTTGCGAATGAAGTGATGGAGATAATCAAAGGGTGTTACAGAACGTAGTCTCCAATTGAGAGTAGCCATGACATAAAGCTCCATTCTTTGGATTGTTTTAGGTTCGAAAACGAATCTGGGCTCGAATACTTGAAGGTCCAGTAACAATGGCACTTCGGATTCCTCTATTTTCGCTGCTAAAGATAAACAAGCCACCGATAGAAGCTGAAACGGCCACCCATTTGCTTGCTATAGACGAATTTTGAAAAAAAAAAAGTTATGCATTTTGCAAAGAAAGTTGCAAAATTTTTCATTTCTAAAATACAGAAATAAAGGGCGTCTTTACCGGCAGATAATGAGAAGAGAGGAAACGATCGAAGTAGTTGACGGAGAGAAATGCCGTTACTGGGCTGAAGTGATAGAATGCATGCACCTGCATCGGCTTATCATATCAAAAATCAATAAAAATTATATTTTGTGTATATAAGAGAAAATGGGTACCTTTAGGATCCAATTGATGGAGTCCTGCCGGGTTATGACGTCGATGGAACGGTCCTGGCAACGGTGGAGGTAATCGGTAGAAGGCATATGAGCGGATTCCAAGTCGATGAGTTTTGAAATGGTATCCTCATCGTACTGTGGATAATTGTCTGGAGACGGAAACTGATGGTGGGAAGACGTGTCGGGTTCCCAGTTTACCACTTCACCTGCGTCCTCACAGCAAGACAAGCTGATGCTGCTGCTACTACCAGCAGAGCCAGAGGACTTGTCCAAGGGAAAGTGAAAGTGAGAGGGAGACATTTGGATGGCAATGATAAAGATGCTGTGGCGGCGGCTGAAACGGCTTTTAATGGAGGGATAGCAGCTTTGGAGGCTGCGACGGCATTGATTACTGCAGCTATGGAGCGGAGGAGTAAGTGATATTGGTCATTCGGCTTTCAGTTTTTATGAGGAAGCTTTGCTTCATGGTTTTACATCTTATTTTTTATCACATTTTTTCTTGCTTTTATTGACTCTGCTTTTTTCTCTCTCTAGAGTTTATTGGGGGTGGCGGGCTAATGCTGTGTTAATTTCAATTCTCTCTCAAAAAACATTAAAAAAAAAGCCTCCATTTCTAAAGGTTATATGATTTTTTTACTAGAAAAAGAATATGATTTATTATAAATAGATGAATGTCAAAATAGACAGTTTCTTTTTATGGGATCGAAATGATTTATATAGAAGAAATTTTTTTTCACATGGTAGAGTTTGCAAATTGCAATGTAATACTATAATTATTATAATAACTAATTTTAGTCCCTTGTGTGATGTATGAAAATTTTAATTATTATTTATTAATTAATTTATTATCATAATATGACATAAAAACATAAAATTCAAATAATGAATGCAATTAAAAATTCAAAATAGATATACATTTATTTTTTTTAAGAATATTTAATTTATAATTTTTATTATAATATTACAATTAATCAATCAAAATAAAAAATTTATTACTTAAAAGTATTAATTTTATATAATTTTTTGATGGACCTTGCACAATATTGATTAATTGTATTCAATAATTCAATAATTATAGGTAATATATTTTTTATGTTTTAAATTAAAGTATTAATTTTGCATGACTTGTCATATTTTTATTAAAAGGTGCAAAAGCATAGATTTATAGACAGTCTTGATAAAAATTTTATCCCAAAAAATTCCAAGTAATAGAAAGGAATATATTATCTTTTCAATTTTGATTTTCATATACCATCAAATGTTTTTTTTTTTTCTTTTTTTTCATCACACATATCCTCCGGTCATTATAGTTTGAAATTTAATATCTAAAGTTCCGCGTCTAAATTTTGAAGCTAGATGAGTGAAAATATGGTTGAGAAAGAATTGCTTTCCATTCTGTAATTCAAAATCATATATAACAGAAATAAGAAATAAAAAATAAATTTTTTGTTCATTTCTGTCTCTTTCCCTCCAATTTTCTTTCTTCTAGTGTGAAATCTTTGGTATGATATATCATTTATATTACTATAGGAGAAGAGAACACAAGGCCTGCTAAGCATCAAGTCAAATGTAGAATCATTAATAATAAAGGGAAAAAGGATTATGTGGTTGAAGAAGAGGGATTAGGTCCCATTGGACTTTTGGATTAATGCATTGCAATAAAGGGCAGATGATGGAATGTCAAGTTTGATTTGACCTTTTGATTAAACCAAAGCGCACATGCTTATTGATTAATGTCTTACTAAATTCGTGGGCGTCAGCTCATAGTCACAGGCTCGTATTTCGGTCGATCCATTGGTTTGCAGCCATGGGTCCCTATGGATTCTGTCGATGAAAAGAGTATTTTTCTCAAACTCGATATTAGCTGTGGCTGTCGTCTGTCTTTTATGGTCAAAAAAAGATGATCACTTGGGTTTAAAGGGATCTATAAAATGGAATTAGAAGATGGTTTTCCTTCAACTTAACAGGCCCTAGCTGCAATGAAACCCCTCTTTTGTGTATCAAATACATTTCATTATGTTAATCAAAACTTAAACCAAGTTTAGGCTTAGATATGACTTTGGTTCTTATGGTATTATCATTTCATTTTCATGAACTGAGTACCAAGTTTTAACAGAATTTGAGTCTTGGTAAGGTTAAATCAGTTGAGATTTGTTGATGGTTTTTTGGATTTGATTACTAATTGCTTTATTAGGAAGTTGGTTGGATGATTGATTTGAAAGTTGGAATAATTTGTAATAGAGAAAACGGTTAGGAGGTTTTTGAAAGTAAAATTTCAGGCCATGTTCCTACGTCCATATCGATAATAGGGAAGGGAAGGTAGATACGAGGAGAGGAGAAAAATAAGAAAACGTATAAAAATAAAAGGCCTTGGGTTCAATTGGTTAAAGCTGAGTTTTTAGATTCGAATCCTGTCGGTGATTATTTGTTGAGATTATTTCGTATGTATTGATTATTTGTTAGAATTATCTTGTATGCATGATCTACAATTATTAATCTTAAGTTGTCAGACACGATATATTTTATAAAAAATTAAAATCTATCTATCATCAAATTATTTATTATCAAAAAATTATAAAAATAAGATATTTGTAATTTTATTTTATTTTTTATAACGGTTTATGTTAATGTGATCAATTTATTTGATATTAATTTAAAGTTAAATTAATTGATTTGATAATCAACATGATAATTAACTAATATTAATTTGATGGTTAAAAAAATGTTGATCCAATGACCAAAATATAACCATACCTGGGATTTTTTTTTCTTTTTTTCTTTTTTTTTGACCTCAATGTATTTGATGGGCTGAAGCTTGATCAGCCTAGCAATTCGTGATTTGAGATTAAAGTAGGCTCATTTTAGAAAATAGGGGCCAGCTCAAGCAGCTCTCAAGGCGCTTCACTTATTCCGTTTGTACCACTAGTGTGAACAAGCTCGAATTCTATAACCAACTTCATGAAAGGAATTTGCCTGCCCAATGAATCCCATCCCATCAAAAAAGGAAAAGAAAAAAACAAAAAAACTTGTTCCCTCGAATAAAATGCAGAGGACAAGGCTAACATCAACACAACTTTTAATGGCCTAAATTCAACAAATATTTTCCCCTGAAACAAATGGGGTCTTGAGTCTTGACTAAGGGAGAAAATCCACTGAACCGGTGAGCCTTATAATTTTGAGAATTGATTTTTCTGATTATCAACTCAGAGACATTATGTGCAATTGGGTCCAGCACATGAGCCAGAATTGTCGCTATTCACTATTCCAATGCCAGAATTGTCGCAAGAAATTCTGAGAATACCGCTGCTAACATTTTAAATACGAAATAATACTTCGGTTCATGGCCTTTACGTAGTGGTTATTTATGAACAACATAGACTTTACAGTCGAAATGGGTATTAGGTATTAATTAACTATTAAGGCTTCATTGTGTAGAGGCCCAAATCAATTTAGATTAGTCCAAGTTGCCTTCCATTCGAGGCCAACGCTGTGAATTTATTTTCTACTTCACTATTCCTTCAACCTCAATAAAAAGATGAGATTTTTTTTTATATATAAAAAAATTTAACCGAGAATCTATCTGATTTCAGGGTCAGGGTATACTAGGAGTTTCTACGTGGATTTATATTGATTTACAAAGGAGATTACTGGTAATGAAAATTTAATTTAAGGGAAATATTTGATTTTTATCAATTTAATTTAGTTTTTATATGCAAAGATGTCAAATAAGTTGTATTGAGTTGGTATAATTCATTAAAAAATTAGTCCATTAGGTCATGTCATTCGGCACTATTATTTAATATGTTGTGTTAGCACAACTTATTAAAACTGAGAGTATGGTCTAATACAGCATATGGTCTACAATCTTTTTTAGTCATGTCGTACCTAATACGATACTATTTTTTATATTGTATTGGATAAAACGCGGCTCATTAATGAAGTATTTGGTTAAGAAGAATTCACATATATTTTTTTAAAATTTTATTGTTGAGTATTTAATTTTAACGTTTGATTCAAAGTAATCTGATTTAAAAAAAATGACATATTTTCAATAGTACCCAAAATTTTGAAATAAAAAATCCATTTTTTCTATAGTATTCTAAGATTTTATGAGAAAATTAGCGTTATTTTCAAATTTGACTTGACATAAAAATTGTGAAATAGTCGTTGCTATTTTGAAAAAGCACGTCTGAAAATAAAATGTAGTTGTAGGTTTATGATGGTAAAAATTTTGGTTTATATATGGTATTTTGCTTGAAAAACGATTTTAATAATCCTTTACAAAAAAATTAAATAGGATTATTCATGACGTTTTTAACTAAAAATGTCTTGAATAATCTTCAAAATTTTTTTATAAGGGGATTATTGAATGCATTTTTGACCAAAAACACCTTGAATAACCTTTATTAATTTTTTTGTAAGGGATTATTCAAGGTGTTTTTAGCCAAAAACACCTTCAATAATCCTCTGCCATTTTTTTAGAGATTATTCTTGACATTTTGCTTAGAAATACCTTGAATAATTCCCAAAACAAAAAATTTAATTGAGGTTATTTAAGGCGTTTTTGACCAAAAACGCTTTGAATAATTCATTTCAAATTTTATGAGGTGATTATTCAATGCATTTTTTGACAAAAACACCTTGAATAATCTCTAAAAAATTTTAGAATTTGAGAATTATTCAAGGCATTTTATCCCATAAAATGCCTTGAATAATTCTTTCATAAAATTTAATGGGGTTATTGAAGCTGTTTCTAGCAAAAAATGCATTCAATAATCCATTTCAATTTTTATGATATAATTATTCAAAGTGTTTATGACTAAAAACACCTTGAATAATCCACTCTAAAAATACCTTGAACAATCTACTCATAAAATTGAATCGGGTTATTCCAGGCGTTTCTGGTTAAAAACGCTTTCAATAATCTTCTTCAATTTGCTATTAGAGATTCTTCAAGGTATTTTTTGAGCAAAAAATACCTTAAATGATCATTATTTAAAAATTATTCCTTTTTTAATGTTTCATAGATCAGAGTGGTATGACATGATCTTTCTTCAAATACGTTATAAATAAATGATTAAGGTGTTTGTATGAAAAATCACCTTTATTGGTTATCAATTGAGGTGTTTCTTCTTACAATCACCTTTAATATTCCTATATTAAAATTTTGTTTTCCCTCTTGATAACCGTGTTCTGACAATATGAACGTTCTAACATCTAATCGTGAAGCAGAAGATAATATAACTATCAAATATATCTTCTTCATGTTTCAATTATAAATACAATTGAAATTTATATTTCAACAGATCTCAAGTCATAACATTTACTTTTCTCTTTGAAAAAATTTTAGCTTCCTTATCCATCATTTAATTTTCGTCATGTTCAGTTCACCATCGATTTTTACACAAAACAATGTGTAAACT